TTTCAGGAGCTTAAGCATTGAGCTGTTAACAAATTTTAAGTTTCACCGCACACGGCCACGAATGTGAAAGCAGTACAAGGCATACGGAGGTACTGACCTTGAGAAATATTGGTGTTGTGAAATTGTAGACATCAACTTTGTCATCCACTGATTTTTTGAGGCTGCTGTTTTTTTCCGTTTGATGAGCTTTCAGTTCCTGTAAGATTCTTTCATTGATCCCAGATTTCAGTCAACGTTTGCAAATACTGGAGCTTGATTAAAAACGCCCGATAATGCCAGGTCTTAAATGACTCTGACCGTCTAGCTTTCTAAGTGGAAGAAATAAATCCTTTTTAATCCTGCTGTTAATGAGAATGACAGTTTTCACGAGATGATGTGCTACTCTTTGGAGTGGATGAGAAAGTGCAGGAGCGAGGGAAGCTGTGCCAGGGTGCACCGAGGAAGACTTTGAGTGTATCAGACATCACAGAGTCGATATCTGGAAAATAATAAGGGCTACTCAGCAACGGTTTGTCTCCAGGATTCCTGGTATTCGTGGACAGTGATCAAAGCGATGTGTAAAGATCGAATCAAACAGAAAGGATAAATGGAAATGGCCTCAAATTCCTTCTGTCCGTCTCGAGTCAGACTATGCCGAGCTACACCGTACCACTGACGGATATTTGATCGATTTCAACAATGACGGATTGGTACCCAATTGACTTTAATCGTTCTACTGGAAGACCTGAATCACGTCGCACGATTAGGTAAACGAGAGATATAAGATTTATGGCAACAAATTCCGCGAGACGGACGAATGTGGCCATCAAGACTAGGAAACGATAATGTTCGTTAAATGTGGTAAATGATAAAGGTAGTAAATGTGCTTAATTCGATCGCATAACATACAATCCTTGATATCAGAGCATTCACTGCTTTGGCTCTTCTATATTTGGTCGATACTACGACAGATTGTTGTCCAGTTCTCGTTGTTTACATCGCGGGGGCCTTCATTTGATTGTTTGCCCAATGAATTAATGCTTATTTATGTTTACAGCAGATTTTATTGTATAATGTAATGACTTGATTGATGGGCACGTTGTGGAATGGTGAACTGTCAAGATAAATGGATGAATATCTCGTTGAAGGATTTAAAGCCATGTGGGTGTGCGCTAAGTTTTACAAGTGGCACGTATATTAGATCGGAATTTAAAGCAGTACATTGATACTAATTTGCAGTACAGTACAGAAGTGCATGGTCACAATACTGTCGCCTAGTGCTCTGTTTTAACCCCAGAGCACTGTTCCGTTATTGAGTTTCAAAAATGGGGCACTCCTGACCGATGGCTTTGAAATCAAGCTCAATGCTGTATCATGAGCTCCAGTTTAGAAAGGGTCTAAAATGACCATCCGAACGTTGCTTGAGCAAAGCTTGACATTCCGACAGATTACTTGAAAACTTTACTGTCGTTTTTGCTAAAAAAATACTGGATAATCGGTTATTGTTTCAGGTTCGGGAACAGTCTAAGGAAGCGGAGAAAGAACTTTTAGAAAATATCCGAGCTGAGCAGAACGCTGAGATGGAACGGACGTTGCATCGTATCAAGCAGGCGTTTGCAGAACGCAGATCGCACAACGTTGCCTTATTGAACGACCACCTGAAGTTCTGTCTTCAACAGTGTGGTACGGCTCAGTACCAGGCTTTGCTGCAGCCAGATCAACAGCTGAAAAGCAGACGACTTCATGACTACCTGAGGGAAGCTGAAACAGCTCGAAACCGTACGTTATCGCAAATCACACCGAACAGTTCGCCGAGCAAGAGGACATCGTCACGTAACACTCGCCATTATGTCACCAGTACCAAATCGACGGCTCGTGAAACTAATCGACATACTCTGGAATGGTTGAATCACTGACGAGAAGGTGTCTTATTAATATCTGGCGGCAAATTTCGTCCAAGTTCAGAATGACATTCAAATCAGCCGTCGTTTTTCAGCAGTTGATTCTAGCGATCGAAACGCCATCCGACTATTCGTTTGTCAGCTCTGAACTTACAGGCGACTCAATGACAACGCTGCTGATATGCATAGCGAAAATTTTCTACTAATCTCTACCTTATTCCTGTTTTGTTATGACTTGTGTCAAGTTTAGATCTTTTAACACCTCATGCTGTACTTTGTTTTTGTAATTGTACTGAAAATACAGTAAAACGGTTTATTTAACTTAATTTAAATTCATAGAACATAAAACATTTCCGATAATGGCTGGTTTTTTTGTAGTATGAGGAAAGAAAAGAAAGTTTGGATGCCGGCCTCGCTTACAGTTTCGTGATTCATGGTGTTTATGGCAATTTTCATGACGCTTATGTTATAACGCTGATCTGTTTCGATATCGTTAACCAAGAGTATTTGTTTTAAATACGGAATCTATATTTATGTGACAAACAGTGTGTAGTTTCCAGTTTCTTTGCTATGGAGAGGTACTCGTTTGTCAACCTCAGATGGAAGAAAAGTGAGTATCCCTATCAGGGTTCAATCTCGGAAACGGTTTTCTCTTAGTCCAGCACTGTAGCAGACCCATCACAATATGCATTGAGGTAAATAGTAACTGGATTAGAGTAGGTTTAAAATTTTTAACTTTTGT